CAGCTGAAACGGCCTCTCTCCTGACAGTCGAGGTCACAGCTGCCCCTCCACGTGCTGTCCCCATGAACGGCCGTCCCCAACACCGGCAGACCCGCCCCTGCCCCTTCACACGCCCTGCGGTGGGCGCCTCCTGTCGCGGGCCTGAGGGAGGCTCTGCGCCAAGCCGAGGGCCGGGGATGCAGGCCGCCGAAATGTCCCATGCCCCCGAGGCTATCCTTAGCTTTCCACAAGGAAGGCGTTAACGTGGCCGTGTCTTCGGCCAAGCGGGTCACACGATGGCCCCGCGCCCCCAGGGCTGCGGCCGGCTCGGGCAGCCCAGAGCTGCGGGCGGGCTTGCGCGGGGCACCTGCCTACAGAGGATCGGGCGTCTGCGGAGAGGGACCAGGCGGGACCGGGGCGCGCTTCTGGGGCGGGGACTAGGAGGTGCGGGGACGACAGAGGACAGCGCTGTTGAGCACTGGTTCGCGCGGACCCGTTTCGACGTGACCCCGGCTGCCGCAGAGGGCGCCCGCGTCCCGGGAAGGGGCGTGTGCGGGGGCAGGGGGCGCCCCGGACCCTGTGCCGCCCCGGACCCTGTGCCCCTCTCTCCGGGGGCGTCCTCCGCTCACCTCGCTCACCCGTCAGCGGTCGCAGGCCTTTCCGGTGTCCGTGCTGGGCCCGTCTCGGCCCCTGCTGGCCGCGGGAGCAGGGACGGGACATGCGTTCTTTCCACCAGTCGTCGCCGGCGCCAGGCCCTGCTTCGTGTACTGGAGACACCAGGGCCAACCAGACCCTGTCGGCCGTGACGAGGGCCCTGGGCATGGCGAAGCTGGGCTGGCACAGGCGGGGCAGGGGGCGACCCGTCCGCGCGCCTCAGCTGCCGCCCCCAGACGCGGGCACCCGCCTCCCGCCACCTCCCCTCAGCCCGCGGACGGCCCAGACCGCGGGGACCCGTCCTGCACTTACGGCCTTCAGCAGGTGTGCCACACACACACTCTTACACACTAATAACACACACATACAGTGCCACACACCCACACACTCACACTCTTACACACCGCACACTCACTATACACACACGTGCGCCACACACTATACACACTCACACCATACTCACTATACACTCACACCGCACACACCACACACTCACTATACACACGTGCGCGCCACACACACTATACACACTCACACTATACACACACCACACACACCACACACTCACTATACACACCCACACTCACACACACCGCACACTCACTACACACACACACCGCACACTCACTATACACACGTGCGCACCACACACACTATACACTCACACTATACACACACCACACACACCACACACTCACTATACACACCCACACTCACACACACCGCACACACACACACTGCACACTCACTATACACACGTGCGTGCCACACACACTATACACACTCACACTATACACACACCACACACACCACACACTATACACACCCACACTCACACACACCGCACACACTATACACACACACCGCACACTCACTATACACACGTGCGTGCCCCACACTATACACACTCACACTATACACACACCACACACACCACACACACCACACACACCACACACTATACACACCCACACTCACACACACCGCACACTCACTATACACACTGCACACTCACTATACACACTCACACACACACCGCACACTCACTATACACACGTGCGTGCCACACACTCACTATACACACTCACACTATACACACACACGCCACACACTATACACACTCACACTGCACACTCACTATACACACGTGTGTGCCACACACTCACTATACACACACTATACACACACACGCCACACTCACTATACACACACACCACACACACCACACACTATACACACCCACACTCACACTCTTACACACTGCACACTCACTACACACACACACCACACACTCACTATACACACCCACACTCACACTCTTACACACCGCACACTCACTATACACACTCACACACCACACTCACTATACACACTCACACACACCACACTCACTATACACACCCACACACACCCTTACACACCGCACACTCACTATACACATGTGCGTGCCACCCACTCACACTATACACACACACCACACACTCACTATACACACCCACACTCTTACACACCGCACACTCACTATACACACGTGCGTGCCACACACTCACTATACACACACGCGCCACACACTACACACTCACACACTGCACACTCACTATACACACACGCTTACACACTGCACACTCACTATACACACTCACTGCACTCACTATACACACCACACACTCACTATACACACTCACACTCTTACACACCGCACAGTCACTATACACACTGCACACTCACTATACACACTCACTGCACTCACTATACACACCACACACTCACTATACACACTCACACTCTTACACACCGCACAGTCACTATACACACTGCACACTCACTATACACACTCACTGCACTCACTATACACACCACACACTCACTATACACACTCACACTCTTACACACCGCACAGTCACTATACACACTGCACACTCACTATACACACTCACTGCACTCACTATACACACCACACACTCACTATACACACTCACACTCTTACACACCGCACAGTCACTATACACACTGCACACTCACTATACACACTCACTGCACTCACTATACACACCACACACTCACTATACACACTCACACTCTTACACACCGCACAGTCACTATACACACTGCACACTCACTATACACACTCACTGCACTCACTATACACACCACACACTCACTATACACACTCACACTCTTACACACCGCACAGTCACTATACACACTGCACACTCACTATACACACTCACTGCACTCACTATACACACCACACACTCACTATACACACTCACACTCTTACACACCGCACAGTCACTATACACACTGCACACTCACTATACACACTCACTGCACTCACTATACACACCACACACTCACTATACACACTCACACTCTTACACACCGCACAGTCACTATACACACTGCACACTCACTATACACACTCACTGCACTCACTATACACACCACACACTCACTATACACACTCACACTCTTACACACCGCACAGTCACTATACACACTGCACACTCACTATACACACTCACTGCACTCACTATACACACCACACACTCACTATACACACTCACACTCTTACACACCGCACAGTCACTATACACACTGCACACTCACTATACACACTCACTGCACACTCACTATACACACACACTGCACACTCACTCTTACTATACCCACACACACACGCTTACACACCACACTACACTCACACACACCACACACTCTCTTACTATACACACACTCATACACCGCACTCACTTACTATGCACTCACGCACACACACCACACACTCACTATACACACACACTGCACACTCACTCTTACTATACCCACACACACGCTTACACACCACACTACACTCACACACACCACACACTCTCTTACTATACACACATACACCGCACTCACTTACTATGCACTCACGCACACACACCACACACTCACTATACACTCACACACCACACTCTTACTATACACACACACACCGCACACTCGCTCTTACTATACACTCACAGACACACCACACACTCAATATACACTCGCCCTCGCACACTTGTACACACCACACTCTCACCACACACTCTTAGTCACACTCTTACACACCACACACATTCACTCTTCCACACACCCACACTCTTATACACGCTCAGTCTTGCACACACTACACACTCACTGTTACATACACTCAGTCTCTTACACTCACACACATACAACTTTTGGATCTGATCAGGAACTTATTACTGTAAAGGAACGTGTGTCTCCTCCCATTTTTTATTTACGCTGCAACACCGTCTTCTACTAGCTTAGCCTTGGAATGGAGGCCCCTTGCCCCTTCCCAATTTCTGCATAACCCCCTACCTATGGCAGTGAGGAAGAGGGAAGGCAGAGGTTTAAAAAAAAAATGAGCGCACCCTTTGCCCCTCAGGCAGGAATGCTGTATTCTCTGTTCAGGGGAGAAAGTGGGAACT